GTGGGGGGGGGGGGGGGGGGAGAATAGACTACAGTGACTTGTGACTATCCTCCTTTTCTTTCTGATATGTGGACTCATCCCCCCACGTCCGCTCTCACTCCTCCCGCATCCCGCAGCTGCCACGGCAGAGAAGCCCAGCAATAACACCAGGTGCGAACCCTGCCTGACCGCTCACACCCAAGTACCGAGGTAAGGGTAGTGACTACCTGGCCTGGCGGGGCAATCAAAACATAACCTTCAGTCAGCCCTCTTTGCCAAAGGGGGAGAAGGGGAATCACTCTGGCAGGAAGGTCTGCGGGGGGGCCAGGCCGCCATTCAGGGGGCTCTCGCAAAACCTTGTCAAGAGGTTGCGCCTGGCTTTCCGTCACTGCCCTGACCTGCTCCTGACAGCATCGTAACAGTTTTCAGCCATGTCCAACTGCGGTTTTTCTCTTACCCAGAAACAGTTCCTACAGAATATAAAGTGAAAACCACAAAATTATACCCCTCACCCACACTGTATTTACACTGCCTCCTAACTCAACAGGTTTTTTTCTTCTTTTTTTTTTTCCCCTAAAGTCACCGACCTTTTTCAGTTAATAACAGAGAAAATGGTCTTAAAAAAATTAAGATTATGCAGTGTTTCCAAAGATACTACAAGAAGAGAAGAGAGTCTAGACGTTTACCTGCCACTCGTTCGTGGATTACAATAAAAAGTTGCAAAATAGGAGGGAGGCGGCACAGGTGGGACAAAATCATCAGGATCCAAAACATGATCTTGGTCTTCAATCTGAGATTCATCCTAATCAAACGAAACTTCTGTTAAAAACCTTCTGAGATATAAAAAATTGCTAAACTATGTAATCTAGTAATACTGTTAGTACCGCTGTTCAGAGCAGGCAATGCCTTGCACTCACTTACTATGCAGGATCTTCTTGTTGCAAAAATCTGTAAGTAACGCAGGGCAGCCGCTACCAAGCAAACTGTGGTGGTGAGAGCATTCAGGGCACAAATAGCAAAGAGAACTTTCTGAAGAACATGAAGATCATGGAAATTAAAAGATTAAATCAAGGTATTTGTAAATGTCAAAACAATAATAATAAAAAAATAAAACAAAAACAAACACAGAAAACACAAGGATGACCACGACAATTACTTCTTAGAAACATATTTTATGAAGTCTTCATGACAGGTAATCTCCAAGATTGGAGTAATTTGCAAAAGCTTGTTTTGCCCTGTTGTGTGTCCTGACAGAGAGATCCAGAAGGGTTTAATACTGCTCAGATGTGATTTATAGTCCATCTATTCATCCGAAGAATTATATTCCTCTTAACTTTTCTGTTGGAAATCCAGATGTGAGATAATCACCATTAAAGAAATACTAAAGCACTTTCATATTTGAAGATGATGCTGTTTGGAAGTTGTATTTTAGCAGTTTGTAAGCCAAGGAAGGCTGAGAAGATCAAGACACCAGTGAAGGCATCAAATCATTAGCTAAAATTTGCACCGTATTTACCCATGCAATCTTGTCTGAATTCAGCTGTAGTTTTGGCTGCATAAAACACAGAAAGGACAAGAACTGCATATTGTATCAGCAATGCACTGGTCAAAACCCATAGATGACGAAAAAAAAACCCAAACTGTTACAGAACCATGAAGAGCTTCCGATCAGTGTGGAAGACCAGAAAAAATACAGAATTTTTCACAGTAAACACAGAAGTCACCTCAGCACTGCACTGTCGCACAAGAGTAGACATTATCAAAGCAGTCATGTTAAGCAGTGTGCTCAGGGTACCTTGAGAAGAAGGTGAGCAGCACTGCACGACTTCATATAGTATAGCTTCAGCGCAGTCTCTTCTTCTGTGCATTTAGCGAGATGAAATTCTTCACAGCAGAAACAAATCTTGTTTTCACCCATATCCACCTTTAAAAACGCAAAACTCCACTTTTTAATTTATTAGCCGTTTTATGCAACATTTTTACCTGCATAATATAGAACCTATGTGTTAAACTATACCTCTGACCGCAAAGCAGACTGGAAATACAGGGTCGTAAAATGACATTTGTACAGTCTGGTACACCAGTGATTCATGCATTATAAAGCTATATTACACGTACTTCTTATTTCAAAGGAAGCATTACTGATAAGCTCAAGACATTTAAATACCACTTAGTTGTAATCAAAGCTGCGCTGATTACTAGGCAATTTTAGTATCCGTGCTCCTTCAAATGCATAGCAGCCTGGAAATTCTTTCTTTGACCGACGTGTAAGCCACTGTATATGGAGCATACACGTTTTCTTTGATTCATGAGTATATTTTGCATCTCTATGGATGGTATGAAACCCACAACTATAATTTCAACAGAGTCAAATCAGTAATAGTTACATCTGTACACCATCATTGTTTGTAATTTTCAAATTACTGTTGTCATCTTAGTTTTCAAGTAGAAATTCAATGTTTCTGAATCTAGAGATAATTGCGTTTTTAGCTGTCAAACTCTCTAGAGCCATAGTATCAAAGGTCTTCCACCTACATAAACCACTCTGCAGAATAATTTGTGATTTCAGGAACACCATTCGGCGGTACCCTATGCTTCCAACCACAGAGGGCTCCAAAATTCCTGAAACATTTAACCATCTCATCTGGAATAACATTAACAGTTCTCAGTGCTGCTTCAGTACATTGGTATTGGGTGAATCTAGATTGCCAAGTGCTTGTAATCTTGGACTCTCACTGCAATACACCTACTGGCATGTTAAGGAACCAACAATAGCTTTCTTGAAGCAATGAATGAATGAAAATAAATATTCAAAGATCTTTCCACTAACCCTTGAAGTCCTTCAAGCCTTTACACATGATCATCTTTATCACCAAGTGACCCTGTATCCTTCAATTTCAATTATTCCACAGTTTCTGGTTCATAAATAGACATACTTCTACTTCTTACGACACCCATTTGAGAAAAACCTTTTGCATTCTGTCCTTTCTTGTGCAGACTGCTTCTTCCTCAAGTAGAAGTGTTCTGAAAAGCTAGTATGATTTGATCTATCTTAATTTTTTCCTCACAGTTCTTGCTGTAAGGTATCAATACAAATTGTCCTCACCAGGTGAGGCAAACCAGGAAAAATAAATCCCACCCACGGATTATACTGACTGAGCTTTTTGTAGCTATCTCACCAGTACCTACTCAGGCTTTTTTCCAACAGTTTAACATTGTCACTTTACTATAAAAATCCTTTACGCTAGTTCTTAAATGACTACGGTATTAAAATCAGTGTATAATGCTGGCAAGAGGGATTTTCTAAAGATACATTCAGGATTCCCTCCTACATGGCCCCATAAAATTGTCCAGAAAGCCTTGTACCGAATCAGCTGTGTCTTCAGGGTCTGAAGACAGAGGCCAGCTCTCAATGAAGTCGAACAAAACCATTTCTGGGCTAAGTATGCTCTTCTAATGAAGAGTAAAACTTTTCAAAACATATCCTTTTGGGGTCTTCAGCTTTAGGAGCTGAACACCTTATGAAGACTCCAACTCAAAAAACCCAAGTGTTTAGGAACACAGACAATAAAAATACTGTTGTGGATTTCAGTGAGTTTGTTCACAATTTGAAATGAATCAAGGCCTGAAACAGACAGTTTTCTTTTTTTTCCCCCAGCACGCTGTAGCTGCATTACTTGCATCTCTACATTAGTGCATATTGTGATCCCAGCACGGCAAGCTTACGTGGCATGCCGTGAAGAAATACATGTGAATCAGTATGTCTGCTCACCAAATTGCATCTGGGTACACTGGACACAAACTGAATGCCTTGACATCCTAATATAAATCCAGCCAGGTTCAGCAGAACACATATGATAGACAGCAGAACAAATAGGTTAGCCTGGAACAACAAAAAAAAAGTTAGCAGCAGTGGGAACAGGATCACAAACCAGACTCAAGGAACCTATGACAGTGCAAATCCCACTCCCAAACTGAAGCTGGGAATGACACTCCCCTTCTTTTCAAAAATCCTTCAGTGCCCCAGGGTGTCTTGTCTTAACCCAGTAGATGGTTACTCCAAACACCTTTGTCTTCTCTCTCTCTCTCCTTACTCTGCACTAGTTGTGCAGTAATAAAAACACATGCAACTATTGAAAAGTACAGGCAGCTAAAGGTTTTTCTGGAATGCAAAGTATGACATACTGTCTTCCACTGTATGTCATATCCTTCCACTGAGTTTACCTCTCAACACATTTAGATCAGTAAGAAACCCGAAGAGGAAACATCTTAAGACAACATTCATTCTGTATAGAATTTCCAAAACTATTTGGCAGCACAAATAAATGAAAAGTATTTGTCCCAGTACAGTGAGGACAGAGACACTTAAGGGACTTTGGGTTTATGATATTATTTCCTCCTGGCTACTAAACCAGAACACCTCCATTCATAAATCGGACAATACCTTCAGTTTCATAAACCATCTGAAAGACCAGCAATGGCAGGAGTAATAGAGTACTTGAAAAAGGACAAGCAGAAGCAGTGGATAAAATGAAGTCCTACTTTCACATATGCCCTTTTTTGGGCATTTTTGGGCAAAATTTGGGCCATTGCAGATTGTAATCTGCAATCTGGGCTTACAGGAGACTTGGGATATGGATTTTAAACACATTTAAGAATTTTTCCTGTCCCAATTCATACATGAAAAGTTTTCCTGTACTTCAGGAGAGAGTACTATGGGTAAGACTACTACTTCAGAGACAAATAAAAACAACAGTTTCCTCTCCTGACACGTTTAAATTTTAAGCACTCAATCCTACAAAGCAAGTATCAGGTCGTTAATGTCCAAAAGAATCCTTGTTAATAACAATCTGCTCACCCAGATTCCTTTGTATCAAAATGGCCTAAATTAAAAATGCAGATGACAAAAAGCTGAGGAAGAGAAGGAAATCATGAGGGACACGGGCTCAGTTCTGCTCCAGATAGCTTTACAGCAGATCCAGCAACAAGGACTTCCTAAACATGCACAAAGCCAGCAATCGCTTTCCAAATTAATTTAGCTGACGTACCATGGTTAGCTACCTAGGAAGCTGGACTAAAAATAAATCAGAGCTGTTGCACAAATTATGATCCCATTTACTGAGGTTCAGGGAAAAATAATCACTCCTGAATGGACAAGAGCCAAAGAGCATTACTGTGCAAGCTCATTCCTTAAATTACAACATCTCATTACTAGTAGGTTTTATAGAAGCTTGACCATAACATTATCACATAAGGTAGGTTTTAACCTCAAAAAACCCCAGTAATTAAAGTATCTATTAGCACTTCTCTGAAGAGGATTGGGACTATTTTGTGTTTGACATACTGAGAACAATCAATATTAAGCGGAACAGTATTTTCTCCTAGCTTTAGAAATATCATAAAACCACAGATAAGAGGTTTTTAATGTTAGTAAGCACTTTGAGTGCCATTTGTTTTTCTGTACAAACACAGAATTCAATCATTTTTTTGAAATTAACTCCTTGCTTAGCACTCAAATGAATCAATACAATTGAATATGCTTTTATCTAGATTATCTCAGTTATCCTTTTGATTAAAACTACTTTGAGAAAAAGAAAACTGGTAGACACAGGTATTTCTTACAAAGAAAGTTTTTCATCTATGTTCTAAACTAATTAGCCAGTTTCATAAGCGAAATAGTAGCCGTTTCAACATAAAACATCTTTATTGTACAAATCTCAAGAAGTGATATTAAGGAACACAAGAAGTACATTTGTCCTCTTTGAACTGATGAAGAAATGGAGGTCCTGAGCAAAGAAGTTACTTGGCCAATGTCAAGAAAGATTTTAAAAAAAAAAAAAAAAAAAAAAAAAAAAAGAGAGAGAAAAAGAGAGAAAGAGAGGCAAATTCACATATTAGTTTTCTCCTTTGGTGCAGAAGCTGCAATAGAAACAATCCAGTACACAGCTATATAAAAAGTTATATATAAAATCCAGACTCCTAATCACATTGTCTACAAAATCTTGAATAAAAATCACACAGATTTTTCTAAAGAAACACGTTAAAATCAAAGAAGAAAAAGGACGAAAAGGAACATTATTATAAATATGCAAAACAAGGATGATAATTTCTACATTTATGTTCTAATAAATTCTACCATATAAAAATGAAATCTTGATCTGTTTTTTATTGTATGCATAGTTTATTTTTGACTGCATAACCTAATGTTCAGACAATCCCATTGAAGAGGCAGAAGAGAACAATAATTCTACATACAATCTAAAACACTACCATGTTCTGAACCATAACATTCGTTACTACATATCCAATAGTGGACAAGAGAATATATTGTACTTCAGTGTAGAGAGAAAAAATCCTTTTTCTTTCTGCTCCATCAGTGGCAGCATTTTCACACAATCATTGAGGTTGGAAGGGACCTCTTGAGACCGTCTAGTCCCACCCCCTGCTCCAGCAGGGTCATCTACAGCAGGCTGCCAAAGACCATGTCCAGTGGCTTTTGAGTATCTCTACAGATGGATACTTCACAACCCCTCCGGGTCAAAACACCAGTTTTGACCATCCTCACAGTAAAAAAGTTATCTCTTGTGTTCAGATGGAATTTCCTACTTTTTCAGTTGTGCCCATAGCCTCTTGTCCAGTCAGTGGGTGCTATTGAGAAAGGTCTAGCTCCCTCTTCTTCATTCCCTCCCATCAGCTATTTGTAGAGATGGAAAAGATCCCCCCGAGCCTTCTTTTCTCCAGGCTGAACAGTCCCAGCTCTCTCAGCCTCTCCTCAGAGGAGAGATGCTCCAGTCCTTTCATCATCTTCGTGGTCCTTCACTGGACTTGTTCCAGTATGTCCATGCCTCTCTTGTACTGGGGAGCCCAGAACTGGACACAGCACTCCAGGTGTGGCCAGCCCAGCGCTGAGGGGAAGGGAAAGATTATGTCCCTCCACCTGCTGGCAAGTCTCTGCCTAATGCAGCCCAGGACACCATTAGCCTTCTTTGCCACAAGAGCACTTCGCTGTCTCATGGTCAGCTTGTTGTCCACCAGGATCCCCAGGTTCTTCTCTGCAGAGCTGCTTTCCAGCAACTTGCTCCCCAGTGTGTACTGGTGCCTGGGGCCATTTCCCTGCACAGGCAGGACTTTGCATTTCCCTTTATTGAACTTCATGAGATTTCTCAGCCCATTTCTCCAGCCTGTCCAGGTCCCTCTGAATGGCAACATTTGGTGTATCAGCCATTCCTCCCAGTTTTGTATCACCTGTGAACTTGCTGAGAGTGCACTCTGTTCCATTCTACAGACCATTCATTAAGATATTGGGCAGTACTGGCCCCAGTATCCACCCCTAGCGCACAACTGCTGACTGGCCTCTGGCTGGGCTTTGTACCACTGGTCACAACCCTCCGGGCCCAGCTCTTCAGCCAGTTTTCAATCTACCTCACTGTCCACTTATCTAACATGTACTCTGTCAGCTTATTTTATAAGATATATTCTCCTGCAGATACAAGTTTAAATATCTTCTCCATCACCACTCACCTACAAGTAAAAACAGGTGTTCCACTTTATCTCAGTGAAAGAAGATCCCACCCACAGGTAAACCAGGAGAAAAGTACTCCTCAACTTAAAATAAACAGGAAAGGCAAACATGCTACTTTAAAAGCCAAAACAGAGGTAACTAGTCTTAACTGCAGTGATAAAAATGGAAACAACTCAAATTATGGCTTTAGTTTGGCTCACAGCCCTCATCTTCTGAGCATTAGATACACATGGACTGTGAACAGCTGCAGGAAGTCTTGAGGAACATTTATATGAATTAAAACTATAGGAAAGCAAAGTGCATTCTAACATTAGACACAGTATTTTCTAATGTCTTGCATGGATGATCTCTTCCAGGTAAAAAATCATCATGCACTTTGAGGACTCCGCAGCAGCATAAACTTGCATGATAAGGCTCTGACCCTATCATTCATTCTACATGGGCAGACTGCTTGTTGTCCTGCTGCCATTGAAATGAATATCTAACGCCAGAGAGGAATTGCTTTCACTTTAATATGCACACACAGGACTGATGCCCAAGCAGCCACTTAAAAAACAAATGAAAGAAAAACATTTGCTCCACAATCATCAACCCTTATATCCGTTTACATCCTACATATATACTTTATAAACATCCTTCTACAAAAAGGCAAGTCAATGTATTAATTTTCCATATACACAGCAGCAATAGCAATAAATAAGCATTAATTATGGGACCTTACTATTTTTCTGTCAGTTGTGAGAGCTATTTATTGTACCATATGGAGACCTGCAACACAACTGTCAACAAAAAAAAGCCACACAGAAGACAAACTAATTCATTTAATAAAAAAGTCACATACTTCAAATGCAGCATTAAAACACCCCATATTAATGAGAGAAAAGCTTTTTCAGCTTAAAAATAAATTATTTAAAAAAAAAAATCAGAAGAGACCTGACTCTGACCTGTATACAGGCTAAAAGCCTCTCTAAAGGCTTTTCATAGTCTCACACTTAAAAGCATATTTCTTTTTATTTGCTTAGAAGACTGACTTTAAAATCTTTGTATGAATACCATTTATTGACTTAGTGGTGGCGACCATGTTAGCCAAGATGTTAACATTGAACTATTTTACTTCTAAAATCCAGACAAACAGGCACTACCACAGTAATTCTCACCAAAGCCAAATGACTTTGCTCATTATGAAGCACAAGGATAGGCAGAGATTTTTTCTGCAGGGTTAGGATCATGATATGCAGCTTCTGTTCACAGTGCTTTATATTGTTACTAGCAGGGCTAAAATTTAAGAACGTCACTTCACTAGCACCAGAACTAGATATTTTGGTCTAAACACTAAATTTTGGTTAAATCTATGCAAATTA